TTTAGAAATATGATTTATATGTGTTAATAATTGTGACATCCCCAAATTCACGGCCAAAAAAGACCAGTTTTGTTTATACTTTATTTTAAAATCAGAGTAATCTTTTAATAAAAGAGTTGCATAATTTGTCGCAAAACAATAATATGATAAAGATTTATTAAAAGCATTTCCTTAGAAATGTATTTCATTAAAAGACTCGGGATGTCATGTTCGATACAGTACATAAGTATAAACAATACAATATAAGCCTTACTAAATTATTTCATATCTACAGGCCTATATCCATAATCCCTCATCCCAACACATCACAACTATGCTCGAGCGCCACTACCTGTAATACATAAAACTGAGTGGGTCAGGCTTGGGAGCCTGCTGAGCACATAGGGTTTTCAACCCGCAATAAATAAGTTTATTAATTTCATCAACCAACAATAACCCGATTACCCATTCCCGTTATCCTTACTTTACGTCCCTAAAACACCTATTGTAAGGGATCTAGCCTAAGGATTATCATCGGGATGGACACTATTGCTAAGGGGTTTCCTCAACAAAAAATGTCTGTAAGGCAACCATGAGGGGGATAGAGTACACCAGTGAACACATCGTTCACAAACACCTACAGGTTGCGGGCCTGCTAGCGTTCCACTTGACTGTCTAGAATAGTCTGTGGTTGTCATCTATACTCTGCTAGATGACTGGATCAACAACAACATCGAGGCCTCTCATCATTTTATTTCATCACACACCAACTATTTCATCTACCCATGTTTTACCCCAACATATTTGTTATATAAAATACATATACAGTTTAAATCATTTAAAACATGTATAATAGTGTTTGTATAACATAGATAACAAGTATACAGACAATATGCACACCTAGCATGTAATTTATATAAAATACTTCATATCTATGCGTAAGATGAAAATAAATATGCACTCACTTTAGTAGCGGGAGTAGATAGAATCTAAAAACGGTCAATGACTCGTGATCGTCAGGCTCGATACGCGGAACGGCTTCAGAAAACGAGAGAGAGAAGGAAGATTTGGTGTAAGAAGTGAATAAGGTCGAACTTGTTATTTATAGGCTGATTTCGGCCCATTCACATCGTGAGAATTCATTACTCACGTCGTGAGCCATGGATGAATCACCTCGTAGCTTCGACATCTGCGTTCTACGCTTGAATAGTGTCTGTTTGACTCCTCACGTTGTGAGAATTCATTACTCACGTAGTGAGCTTTTGAGTTATCATTCCCGTAGCCTTCTAGCTTCGAAATGTGACTTTTTGACTCCTCACGTCTTGAGAAAAGAGGCTCACGTCATGAGTCTAGTCAATTTAGGGTTTCTGACGCGTGTCATGCTCTTAGACAACTGTATCTCCAGAAGGTCATAACTTTTGCATACTAACTCCGTTTTTGACGTTCTTTATATCCACGCGTAGGTGGAGATGTAATCTAAAACTTTCCTTTAGACTCCTAAGGACAAAAAGTAGTTTATCATAAACTAACTTTTTACGTTTTCCAGTGTCGTGCCGGTTTTGACGCGAAACTTCGACAGGTCATGTTTTCTTCGTTATAACTCGGATTTCGGCGTTCTTTATATATCCGAAATCCTTGCCCCGACCACTACAACGTTCTTCATAGATATTGGACCTATCTATTATTTTATTTTTGACGCTTTATTTTTTTATTCTTAACTTATTATATCTTATAATTAAATATAAGACACATAAAATCACACAATATTCAAATAATTCCTATTTATTATTTCAAAGTAGGTTATAAGTGTTGACCCTAACTATTACACCATTAAATTAATGCTTAGCTTAGAAACACGGGCGTTACAATAATATTAGTGGTTTTGCACGATCGAGATATACATTATTATCACATGGTTTGAACTAAGAGCTTTCGTACTCTGTGTTCCTTAGGTGATTGAGTTCACTAGGGATATTTGAACTAAGTGTTCACTAGATGTTTGAACTAAGTGCTCATTAGATGTTTTTGAAATAAGTGTTCTTTAGGTGTTTTTCAACTAGGTGTTCATTAGGTATTATTGAACGGAGTGTGTTCAATGGGTGTTCTTGAACTAGGTGTTCATTAATTATTTTGAACTGCGTGTTCACCAGAGGTAATCTAAGAACCATGGCAGCACTAGACTTTGTGCCAATTCCTTAGGGCAATTCTTAGGAATGAATGGGAGAAGGGTAATCAGTTCTTAGGGTAAATCTTTATGAAATAAAGGAAGATAATGGGGGATGGGTAATTGGATTGATTGTTTGATAATTAAATATAATAATTATATTATTATGGGTTGAAAACCCTATATGCTCACCAGGCTCCCAAGCCTGACCCACTCAGTTTTCTTTGCATTACAGGTAATGAAACAAGAGTATAAGTTGGTGGACATGACTAGAGATTTTGGATTATAGGCCAGTAGTTATGAATAACTGTTGTAAGTTCTATTTTGTTCTGTTTGTGCTTTTGGTCTGTATTGAACATGACATCCCAAGATTTTGTTATATAATGAAAATACACTTCTTTAAAGAAACGCTTTGATAATTTTTATCATATTTTGTTTTGGGAACAAATTCCGCAACTGTTTTCTTTAAGAGATTACTCTGATTTTAAAAACAAAGCATAAACAAATCAGTCTTTTATGATCGTGAAATTGGGGATGTCACAGTTGGTATCAGAGCATTAGTTTAAACGAACTAGGAATTTGTAGGAAATTTCTAGACTTAAACTTAGAATGCTAAGTAATGATTGTGAGGAGTGTGTCTAAAATATGTTAGGTAGTATACCTAAATTGACACAAGCACTAGTTATTTTAGGAATGATGCCTAAAATGCTTTTATGTGCTAAATGTTTTGTGTGATAGCTATTTTCATGCTATTATTTGTTCGGATCTATGGTCTATTGTCGACCGGATCTGGAAACCTTATGTGTGTAGGATTCTAAGCGTATAACTATGATATTAGAACTAGCATGTAAACATTTCGGAGTGATAAGGAGATTTATAAATTTATCATAATTAAAGCTTTCTTATCTTAAATTCCCGCTTGGTACACCGAATGTCTGCTTGGGTGCACAAAGGGTCATGGTGAAGACTCGTAGAGAAATTGAGAAAATGGAGGAAATGAAGAAGGCTTGTGATAATGGCTGACACCTATAAGAAGATATCGTAAGAGTGGTATCTTGGCTTTAGAGTATGTCTAATGAAATAACAATACGTTTAGAGGAATACGGTACGTTTGAAGTACGCCTTTGATTGGCAGGATAATGGAACGTTAGGTGTAATTCTTGAGGTTGCCTCATCACCTGGTATTTCCATCACAAATCGAGTTGAAGTAGAATTTATGATTGCAGATTGAGCAATGAAGATGTCCTAGTAGAGTCTAGGGAAATTGTTTATGATTAGTTAGACACATTCATATGTGTTAAATTTTTTTGTGATTTTCTTGTATGGTGACTTGGTCGACTGCGAGACAATACTTGGGATGAGTATGAGTAGGTGTGAAAGGTAGTAGATGCCATTACTAGAAAAAAGCCCTTTAATGACGCGCAAACAATGACACGCGCTGATAAACGATACGCATTTGTGCGTGCCCTAAAAATAATGTTAGTTTTGCAAAATATGAAGGATAGAGGGCACCGCATTTGTGCGTGCCCTAAAATTAGTGTCAGATAAGAAAAAAAGAAAAAGCGGAGGGCACCTTTCATAAAACGTGTGTCATCTAAGAGTGTCGCTTTATAATTTTTTAATGAAACACGCGTTTTAAGCGGGATTTCACCCGCCTATACTGGATCCCAAAAATTAAACCCCCCCGCCTCTTCCGATTAGCAAGAAAAAGCCCTAGGGCGTTGGTCTTCATAGCAGCATCGCACCACCACCCAACCTCCGATCTCGCACCGCCAACTGTCTCCGACCATCTTCTCCAACCATTTGGGAGAAGTTGTTTCCAAACGTTTCAACATTTCATTACATTTGACCAACTTCTAAACCAATTTTCCCTTCCATCTTATGAAGACATCCTATTTTTCTTCTTGAGCGATTCCCCCCTTCTCCTCTAATTACTTTCTCGGCTTCTCCCTTGACTTACAACAAGAAAACCCTAGTTCTTTCCTTTAACTCGTCTTTGCAAAATCAAGCGCATACAACCATCATCTATGAGAGTACGTCTGTCTTCTTCCTCTTACAATCGCTAAGCCCTAACACCGAAAATTGAAAGTCAATTGACCCTCCATTCGAAGAAAAAGGTAAGAATTTTCCTTTATTTATTCCATTCTATTACTTTGACCTCATATTCTTCTGTTCTTCATCTTTTTTCTTCCAAATTATCAACTCTAGCCCTATACTGTGTTTTCTTTAAATGGAGAACTATTCAATTTAGGGCTTGATTGCAATTTTCTCCACGAAGCCCTTCTTAAGTAGTCAGCTTTTGCATCTTTTTTCTGAAGGACCAATGCCCTTCTTTAGTGATTTCAGGATCCATGTAAGTATCAATGTTGAATTCACCTTTTTCCGATTGCTTTTCCATCTCAGAACACAAACTAGTGATTTTGGTTTTCTTGCTGCTTTAGTTCTCTAAATATTCCTCGTGCAAGGGAAGAAACTCTCTCCAGACATTCTATTTTGGGCCTGAATGGAATTCGTGGACAACACCCAGCTCCTACCTTGAATGTTGCGGTAACTTCATTTTCTTTTTGGATTCGTCTAAATGCATAGCATTAGCATCTTACTTTCATTTTTTCTTCCTATTATTGCATGAAAAATCTACTCAATCATAGCAGTAAATATCATGTGTGTGCATGACATTACTATAATTGGGTGCTACGATGTTATAATAGGAAAAGGAAAGTAACAAATAAATTTAAAAGTACGTTTTTATTTGTTCATGTAACCGTTTTTGATTCAGTAACATGGAGTGCTTATACTCTTATATGTATCTCAGGTTCGTTATCCAAGAAATATAGATTTGTCACCATCAGAGAGTTCCATGAATTCTTCTCTAAAACTTGGAAGTGGTTCTACTTCTACCAGACAGAATTATGCAGGTAAGCAAGGTGATTGTTTTCAGTTTACATTAAGGTTATCCTTATTGAATCAATATGTTTTCTTGTAGGAAAACATCCCTATTTACATAATCACATGCCTACCCAAGGTCCTGGGGGTGGTCTGCTTTCACAAAACCAGAGAACAGCAATTCCTCAAGTATCTTGGGTTAGTAGTTGTCAAGGTGTAACAGATCTCCCATTCCCAAAAAGGCTGGGAGTTGAGTTTAATGGGAGAGATAGCCCTCAATCTGCTGAGAGACAAATAAGCTTGCAGACAACTAGTGCAGGTATCCTGAGTGGCATAAGACTGTTTTTATACAGTTATAGACAACAAGTTAAGTCTTACTTATCATGTGAGATTAATTTTTTTATTTTCAGGTCAAAGTCAAACACGTCAGTATCCAGATAATGTTGTTCGACCTTCTATTGGTATGACTACTTGCTCTCGTTTTAATTTCTTGAGATCGTTTTTATGACAATCAGATCGAATTGATGCAGCACCTGTGAGTTATCCGATGAATCCTCAAGGTCCCTGTTTCAGTCATGGTAAATAAAACCTAAGAAGTGTATGTATACAGTTGGATATATTGCATACATATTTGATATTTTTTTTGTTTGGTCTTATGTAGGCCAATCTCAAATGGTTCAGCTTCCTAACAATCCTAGAGGACAAGCTCCTACAACTTCTATTGATGGTCTCTCTAATAATTCTGAGTATTATGCGAGACCATATCACAAGAGAAGTGCAGTGGCCCCACCTTCAGGCGCCCATTGGGTTCAACGCCAGAAGATGTCACATCTAACAACTACTCATCATTCAATGCCAATCCGATTCCCCACAAAACCAGCTGCTTCTGTAACAGCCAATCTTGCTCATCCTTCCATACCAATCTACCAATCACAATCACAGACTCAACAACGTGTTCGTGCTCTTATGAATCCATCTATACCTTACACATCAAATTTTAGACCTCGTGTTCCTGTGACAGCTGCTCCTAGTCCTACAGTCTCTCATATTACATGGAAAGGTACAATATCGTTTCTTACTCTTACTATTTCTTCATATATATATATGACATGGAAACTACTAACTAATGTAATGTGTTTGATTATATGCCAGATCCTGAGACAAGTCCTCTTGAATTGACAAAATATATAAATGCGTGCTATGTAAGAGGGATCTTTCATTAACATCAGAAGGTGCAGTATACCAGCCTACAGCACCACCAGCAGTTGTTGTTCTTCCTTGTGGCCATACTTTTCATGATCAATGTTTGCAAAAAATCACTCCTCAAGACCAAGCAAAAGATCCGCCTTGCATTCCTTGCACCATTGGTGAAAATTAGGTCCCATCTCTATTCTCTAACCCTACTTTTTATGGGTCCTTATATAAATATATACATATTAAACGTATAGATAGATGATGATATTTGAGATCAATTGGATGATTTTTGTTCTAATCACATAACTCAAAACCCTGCTAAACTGGTAGAGAACTGAAAAGATTTGATTTAGACTGGGTATTTTGGGTTTGGAACGTGATTCTCATTTCAATTGAGTACATATTTAGAGTTCTTTGGTCTCATTTGAATTATATTGGATGATTTATTTAACAAAATGTACATAAAGTTATGAATCTAACTTGGCAATTTTTGGTAGTCCACTTTTGAATTTTGCATATCGTATACAAGAAAACACGAGTTTTTTCTTATGCGACTACTACAAGTTATTTTATGGAAGATTTTTTGGAAACCATTTAAATATAGGGCTAATGACATAAAAACCCTTAAGTTTGTAAGTTTTTGTCGGTTTTACCCTCTTGTAGATTTTAGGTTCATTAAATTCAGATATTTGCAACTTTTTTTTTTAATTTTAATTTTACCCTCTGGTTTATTAAAGCCTTTAAGTTTGATAGAAATGTTCGATTTTACTCTTTCTTTTTGGTTCATAAAAGCCCTTAAGTTTGGTTTCTAGTTCATTGTTTACCGTGAGACTGACCAACCTAGCAAGCTACAGGTGATTAGGGGTCCTTCGTGTGTGTGTGTGTATTTCTTTCATTATACAATTTTTATCTATTTATTATAGTGATATTTTCCTTACATATTGTTTATCTAATAGATCCGTGATGAAGGCACAAAATGGTCATTTCCTGTTCAAATTGAGAAGGAAGACACCATATTTCTTGTTTTGAAGGAGGAAGATGGCACTTCGGAAATTTGAAGGACTGGAATTCGAGGTTATGAAGAGGCATCATGTTTCATTGTTGTACTCCGTCGTGGACCAAGATATGGCCCCATTAGGTACACACACATCATATAACTTTGTATATTTATCAAAATGAAGGATCATTCAAGAAGCCCACTTTTATTTATTTCCATGCTTCTGCCTTACTTGTGAAAAAATTGTGCTTGACAGGATTGAAAACAAAAACACTTGGAGAAGTTGTTAGAATTTGGCAGTCTGGTTTGAATAATTGTGTGCATAACAGTAATGAGGTTCTACCATTCAGTATTTCCTTATTCTCCTTTGACATTTTTTTTTCTTTATATCTTCAAACATATAGCTGTAAAAGAACTAACTTTAATAAGGAAATAAATTAATTGTTGAAGTTTTTGATTGATTAAGTGTATTGATTGAAACTGGTTGTACATGTTTTGACAAGGAGTTGTTGTATCTATTCAGAGTAGGCTTAGAGCAATGGTTGCAAGAGATGAGTTCAGAAGAAGAAGAAGAAACAAGGCTGCAACTAACATGTTGACTCTTTGTTGACTTATTGTTGTTTTTTGTGCAGAAAGGTGCTTTATGTTCTGATACTAGTACTGGTCAAGGGGGTATTATTACATGGAAGGTGCTTCAATACACACTTGCTTACTCCATTGTACACAAACTAAGGAAATAGGAAAACACACAACGGAAATTGGAAAGCGAATGAAAATGACAAGTGATTTTGTGTTGTGTTTACAGGGTTGATGAAAGTGAATAGCTCTCGAGTTAGAAGTGGAAAAGAAAGCTCAAGCCGAAAGAGATAAGATGCTGAAAATGCAAGTGTTGTATTCTTCATTTCAATTGTTAGTATGAAACATAGAGTAGATTAGATGAATGCAAATTTATATATTGTAAGAATTAGAATTGTATGACATTAAAGTTTATTCAATGGATTGTATTTTTTTGTATATGGTATTTTATTTCTATTATGACACATTAAATGCAAATTTAATTTAAAAATTAATAAATATATAAATATATATTTTTTTAAATATTTAAATTTACGATACGCAAAAATGTGTGTCATCTTCATTTATGACATGGCCTTTCTTGACAGGGGCTTTCTTGATACGCATTGCGTGTCATTAACACGCGCGTCGTAAGGTTACGACACGCGAATGCGTGTCGTCTTCCTTTATGACAGGGCCTTCCTTGATACGCATTGCGTGTCATAAACGCGCGTCGTAAATGAGCGTCGTAAATGCGCGTCGTCTCTCTTTATGACAGGGCCTTCCTTGACGCGCATTTGCGCGTCGTCTGAGCCTTTTACGACGCGCAATGAGCGTCGTAAAAGGCTATTTTTCTAGTAGTGTGCGTATACTACCGGAAGCTCAGGACTCGCACTTGGATCAAGGAAAGTCACAAGGTTACCAAGAAGGTAGTGATTGATTATGTTTTATTCTGGTATGTCATTACCATTGTTTCGGTGATGACTAGTAAGATGGTTGTTATTCCGACCCTTGTGGTCATGTCCAATTAGGGTCCGACTACGGTGAGTATGTTACGTGGTTCGGAGAACCAAGTTCGAATTAACATCTGATGTCAGTCAGAGGATTGAAGTCAATACGATCATTGGTATCGCACTCGTTGTTCATAAAGTTTGTAGCTAGAAATGCTACATGCTGAAATGTGATTATACCACATTAGAATATGAAGGAAGGTATATTCCATTATGGAATTTAACTTTAAAAAGACCAAGTCTAAGCGTCGCATCGTGCGATGAGAGGTCAGTAGAGCACGACCCATCGGTCTGTTACAATAGATAAAGGAAAGTATTTATCCCAAGAAGAAGAAGGAGTCCGCAATAAGGACTTATTTGGTAACTCGAAGGTTACGATTGAAAGTACAACATAGTACGATAAGCAGATGCAAGATTGGGCATCATTTTCGGTCAAGAAAGCCATAGAGTTAAATACTCTTTCGAGGAAACATGGATGTTACGATTATTACTTAGGATGAAGAGGTAATGTATGGAATCATTATCCAAGCCCTATTTTCATTGATGATTCCGGGACGTAATCATCCTAAGGGGGAGATAATTGTAACGCCCGTAGATCCGGGCTAGTCAATTTAGAGACGTTAAGCGTCAAAAATGACTTTTTAATAGAAGATTATTTAGAATGAATAATCTTAACTAAGGTGTAGTATATGTTACAAGAATTCCGTACATATAAAGAATGTTGAAATCCGAGTTATAACGAAGAAGTTATAACCTGTCGAAGTTTCGCGACAGAACCGGCACGACGCAACGCGGCGTAAATAATGAATTTATGATAGAGCGGGATTTGGCCTTAGCGATCTAAATGAAAGTTGTAGAATACGTTAAAACAAGAGCGTGCATAAAAAGAACGTCCAAATCTGACTTCGTATGAGGAAGTTATGATTTTTCTAAGTTTCAGCTTAACAGTATGCAACCCGAAACTCGAATTTTAGATCGAGTGATTTTTGGTCGAATCAATCTAAACGAGAATCGAAGATCTTGTTATTAGTAGTGCAATGATAAAAAGACAGACGAAAACGAACGTCGGATGAAGAAGTTATGAATTTATAACGGAGTTTTCCTGTCCCAGCCTACTAAAATAATATAATAAAAATAAAGTCAAAATTAGCCGACGGAGTCTAAATGAGAGTTGTAGATCGTAGTCTCACCTACGTGGGGATATAAAGAATGTCAAAAACGGAGCTCGTATGAGGAATATATGAATTTTTGAAGTTTATTGAATAATTAAAGTATTTAATTTAAATATAAATTCGATATTATCCGAAGGGGGGGGGGGGGGGGAGTCACCGGCCTTATCCACATTACGCCCAGCGTAATTCGAAGAATCAGTCCCTATATAAAGGGTGCGAGGGCAGCCGAGTTCCTTGCTCAATTTCTCTCATCTCTATCCTGTTTTACCTCGTTTTTCGTGCAAGAAATATCCCGAAGCCCCGGTATCATTCCCGAGCCCCGAAGCAAGTCTTGAAGCCCCACAGACCCCGAGAAGTAAAATTCTCGAGCCGAAGCTCTGCCCGCGAGAAGCCCGGTTTTTTGTGAAGATCTACCGAAGAATACTACTTCTACAAGCCGTAGTGTTGTGCGATCATCTTCTGATCAGGTGAGTGCATGGTCACTTTCTTCTAAAACATAAATATTAAGTATTTGCTATGAAATACGTGCTACGTGTATAATATTTTGTTGTTTATTTGAGATGATCGTGGAATGGATGAATTATATAAGTTTTAATGAGTTAAACTATATATATATTTTGTATCTAAAAATATGTTGGGTAGAACATGTGTAGATGAAGTTGTTGGTAGGTAATAAAAGATGGGTTGGACCAGGAGATAAAAGGATAAAGAGATAAACTTGTTTTAGATCTAGATGTATGGATCAGGTCAGGAGGTTAGTTTAAGATCCGAGAGTATGGATCAAATCAAGAGGTTAGTTTTAGATATGAGAATATGGATTAGGTAAGGAGGTAAATTTTAGATCCGGGAGTACGGATTATGTAATTTTGAATTATGTGTTAATACGATAAGGTATCATGCGTATAGTCCCTTTTAGGAACGTGATTTTTATACGTGTATTGATTAAAGTATGAAATATACATATGTATGTAAAGTATTTGTTATTGTCAGAAATACGGGTTAGATATATTTGATGATATACAACGTGCGAATCAGTTATGGTTCAATATGTGTTAAGATGTGAATATATGATATTATTACTTAAAACTATGTGTTAAGTATACACTAGTTGGCATTGCCTAAACGGAGTTAATATCGAAAATTGTTATAAGCATTGTAGGCTTGCCTAGTGATGGGTTAAGACTTAAATAAGGATGTTTAGTTCAATTAAGTTTGGACATTGGGTAGCCTCTTATTTAGAGTACGTGTGTTGTGAGATTGATGATCGGTGGAGTACGTCCTACGCACAGAATTACATTTTATGTATGAAGTCTTTTTCAAAGCTCTGTGTCTTGGGTGTTGCTTGTGCCAGGGTACTATTATGTTCTCGGGTACAATTCTTTCGCATACCAGAGTACTATAATGTGCCAGAAGTACTATCATGTACAAAGTCTTTTTGACAATTTTGTGTGTCGGTTACGGGAGCGTATGGGAATACTCTAGTAGTATTTCCCCATACTTTTATTTTGTGAGAGCTTTGGAGTCAGCGTTTCTTTTATGAGGTGATCGGCCGAGCTTCATATGTCAGCGTTTTCTTTCACGTAGTAATTAAGGGAACTTCGTAGACTGCCTAATAAAGTGTGTCGATAATAGACCACTGCTAGGTATGTCTGGTGTTATATTGTTGGATAGGGTGCGTCTGGGGGTGAAATACCTCATGTATTCAGGCCACTATGTAGCACATGGTTCTTGGTACGTATTCTTGTATTTAATTATGTTAATGATTTACAATTTTGGCCTTGGACTCGGCGAGTCGAAGGACTGACTCGTCGAGTAGAAGCGGGATGAGATGCGGAGTTTAAGTTGCGGACTCGGCGAGTCAGGTCTCGGACTCGGCGAGTCAGGTCCTGGACTCGGCGAGTGGCTGCTGTTTGGACAAAAACCCTAATCCAGGGGTTTGCACCATATTTAAACGACCTTATGCAGCCTCCATCACTCCTTTATGCTCCCAAACACCCTTCACTGAAACCCTATCCGTTTTTGAAGCAATTTAGGCCTTGTTGGTGGATTTTGGTGCTTGTGATCTAAAGAAGGAAGGAGAGAAGCTTGAGGAAGCAAGTAAAGATCAACGGAACCTGAGTTTGTGCACCTTCTTCAGCTCATTGAAGGTAAAAAGTTGTGATCTTGCTCATTCATTTGTTAGATCCCTCTTTGGGGAGGTTTAGGGCTTTTATGAGTCATTTTTGGTGGCCAACCATGTTTGCAAACATGGTTGGGGGTTTAAGCTTCTGAATCACATCATGAAAGGAGTCACTATGCAAATTTGGGTTCTTTTGCACCCATGA